AAAAAAATCAGTAATCGAATTACAACCATTACAAACTAAACTTAAAAATAAAAATTTTATTGTCAGGCAGCAATGCTATATGTACTAAATTTAAAATAAAATTAGTCTTGTCATTAAAAAAACGTTTGGTAGGAATTAATTGTTACATAGTGTAAAATCAATAAATCTATTTGTTTTAGCGATTATTGAGGCCAATAATTAAATTAAACATACTTAATTACCATTAAAATTAGCAAATAGGGTGTACCTCTACCATATGGACACTTGAACATTCATAGAAAACCCACAAAGGGAAAAACACTTACATTACATTATGTACAAATTGATTGGTAAGGGTCGCTTAAATAAAAAAAATTCACAGCAGTACTAAAAAGTACAAACTATAATAAAACTTTATCGAAATATAGCTTCAAATAGAATCGCTTACAAGAAATCTATCATTAAAAATACCTACTATGTAGCATAGGAAAAATATATTATACATGTGTTGCCAAGCTATCAGGGGATTTACCGAATTACTGGCAATACCAAAAACAAAAAACCCGCAACACTAAATACCTCACTTCATTACACAACTATCGGCTACAAAATTAATATACATTGCAATTAATTAAAAAAAATCGATTAATCGTTCGTTATTTAAAAATTTTGCGCTAACACGAGTACACATGCATTTTACAATAGAAAATTATCTATGACTGTGCTAAAACTTTATAGTAACGTTTTTTTTTACCATTTCATAAAAACTTGTCTAATTCTACACAATTACTCCAACACCCTACACACACTTACACCTATATTAATAAAAATCCCCATTATATTTAGCAATTAAAACACAGCATTGTTTGTATTAGACACTAAAATACGTAATATGGAACGTAAGTCAGAAACGAACGAACAAACATCGCAACAAACTAAAATCTAATAAAATACTTTAAAATTAAAACCGTAATTGACATACAATCAGGTGGAACTTAAAACATCTAGGAGTTGCGCGCGCGCAATACAAACCATTTGGTACAAACGACTACACTACAATAAAACATTAGTAAATGCAATCCACTCGCTCCGATAGAATTACAATTGAAAAAGAAACATTTACATTTAAATACATAATGATTCGTCACTAACAACTACATAAAATATCTAACTACGGATAGAATACCTTGTGGTACATAATTTGTACATAGTTTAAAGTGCGATATCTGAAACTTCCTACATAAGGACACACGAGTCACAGTTTTGTATTAAAAATAGCTGTGTGATAGGAATGTTCTCTCGCGGCGTCACTCCACCGGCCTCCGGGGGCGCGCGCCGTCTGCCCGAGGTCGGCGAGCTTCTTTATTACGCACGTGATGCACTAAATCTTATA